CCAGCTAAACCCACCGGAACAAGTGAGCCTAGCATCAATGGGGGAGGGGTGTAAGCCATCTGGGATAACAGATAGCACAAGTGATTCTGAAGGTGAATCACTGAAGGTGAAGGGGGCACTGTTGCCTGTCTAAGGATATCGCACGGATGTCAGAAAGCAGGGAAAGGACATGGTCAGATGCATGTTCTCGACATCCATCATTGGAAAGGACAAACTGGGCCAGTGATTTCTGCCTTAGTCAAGTTTTCCTAAAATAGAACTTGAAACAACAATTAGGTGCTGATGATGTATTGGGAGGTTCAGTCCCCAGTGGTGAGAGTGTGAAGTAAAGATCTCCAGGCAGCGAAGACTACAGAGAAACAGAAGTTTGTGGGTTACTAGGCTGGTCATTGTTTCCTGTTTCAGAGACACAGATGATTGATCAGCTGGTATCCACACTTGGATATGGCAGTTGGGCAAAATGGAATCAGGTTTTGGGACAGGCCATGAGAGGGGAGGTGATTGGGAAGTGATCTTTTCATTGCCCTTCTATTGATCTCAGTTTACCCCAGTAGGAGACTACTTGTTTATTCCTTGGCTTCCTTGGCAGTTGATGTGGGCACCGGATCTCATCACCACAGTGTGGTTTTGCATCCAGAAGCCAAAACCTCCAGCTGGTGGATGCTTGGGTTAAATGAACATTAGTAGCCCATGTGGTGAAGGAAAGGAATGTTCTCCTGAAAACAGAAGACCCAGGAGAACTGCACAACCACAGCATTAGCTTTAGGGCCCAGGAGACTTGACAGGAGAAGCCAGGGCGGTGCCTAGGATGTGTCGGATAAGTTCTCACACCACAGGTGGGACTCACGGCATAAAGCAGATACAATGGGAACTATTCTTTGATAAAAGAAGAAAGTCTGTAACTTCTTTTCTCATACTTCCTCCCATGGTGATTTATAGGCCCCAGTGTTCCTGGCAATACAAATTGAGATTAGATTAGATTAGATTCCTTCTTGCCCCTACATTCAGATTTCTTTAGTAATACATCTGAGGAACACTATTTCATCATCTATAAGATAAACTTCTTTTTGGTGTTTGGCTTGTGGAATTGTAAAGAAAGGCGTAGCAAGTGTAAACATGGAGAGACTTATAACAAACCATGGGATTTGGGATTTTTGAAACTTTAAAGTTCATCTAGTTCAATTAACTCATAATTGCAGATGAGAAAAGTAAAATTCAGGAGGATGAGTTGCCTTGAAAAGGTCATCCAGCTAATTAGTGAAAAATGAAGGGCTAGAACCAAGGGAATCTGACTCCGGGCTCTTCTCTCTGTGAACAGATTTTTGGAGTTCTTGAATGTATGTCAGTGTTTTTGAATTTTGCGTTTTCATTGTAATAACAGTATGAAACCATGGCTGTTTGCCAATCATGGGCCATCAGATGACCACAGAGTATTTCTGCATCCAGAATACGGCGAATCCTTTCTTCATACTGGACTTAACCATGCCAGTGAGCTGAGGAGAGGGATCTGCCTCCTGCAGCTGGTGCCAGGATCCCACTGCTGTAGACTATGTCTCAAGTGTTCTGTCTTCACATATTTTCTCTAAAGCTACAAGGGGGTGGAAAATGCTTTTTCCCCCACCTACCTATAGCCAAATTTGGTTTGACGCCCATCACGGAAGCAGTAATAATGCAAACTTTGTCCTCATATGAACAATTTGCTTGATTATAGATCACATTTAAAATAGTCATTTTATTCTTATTGAGAGTTTTTAGATAAATTGGAAGCTCATACAACCTCAACTAAAACCTTGATGTTATTTAACTTTCTCTTATCGAGCATATTTATATGAACAATACCTTCTCTATTAGAATTACAAAGTAAAAATTCTGAAACACTGAGGACCTGAGATTTACTTATTTTATTGGTGCAAGTTACTGGTGTGGAATGATGAGGTTTACTTTGGTATATTGGTATACGCACATCACACATTTTGATTATTTCATTCCATTACCACCTTCTTCTTCTTCTTCTTCTTCTTCTTCTTCTTCTTCTTCTTCTTCTTCTTCTTCTTCTTCTTCTTCTTCTTCTCCTTCTTCTTCTTCTCCTTCTCCTTCTTCTTCTTCTTCTTCTTCTTCTTCTTCTTCTTCTTCTTCTTCTTCTTCTTCTTCTTCTTCTCCTTCTTCTTCTTCTCCTTCTTCTTCTTCTTCTTCTTCTTCTTCTTCTTCTTCTTCTTCTTCTTCTTCTTCTTCTTCTTCTTCTTCTTCTTCTTCTTCTTCTTCTTCTTCTTCTTCTTCTTCTTCCTTTCCTGCCCTCTCCCCCTTAACTGTTTTTATGCATATACTGAATATGGAAATTGTAGTTGTTGTGGAAAAGTATCACACTCCCTATAAATTTATATTTCTAATTTAAAAGTTTACTTACCTGTTTCACAGCTCTTAAAATTTAGTTTGTAAATCTTTCTTAGTCATCGGTAGGAATGTAACTAATAGCTTGCTATATATATGTAGATATCTGAAGCATTCCAATAAGAATAACAAAATTCTGACTGCGATGCTGAAATCATTTGCTCCTGTCAAAAGCAAGTCGAGCTATCATCCCGTTTGGGAACTGCTGCAAAAATGTAATCTCTCCTAGCAAGCCTGGTCACCTAATGACCATCTGGTAAAGGAAAAAGCTTTTTTTGGATTCCTGATTCAAGGGATCAGCTTCTGACACTGTGACAACTGTGTGTCCATTAAGTCACTGGGCTCCTTGGCCCTCAGGTTCTTCATTGGCAAATTAAAGATTGCGGGGATCACAAATTCTTACGCCTGTCGGAACCAGGTAGAGTAAGTAAATTATGTCAGCTGTAACGAACAGGCAGCATTAGGGACAGTGACTAATTCAGAGAACATTTGTCCTCTATTTAAAATTACTGTATTTAAGAATTAAAACTTTTATTTAGCACCATCAGCAAAAACAACAAACCTGTGGATCGGATTCCACCTGGCCAGTCCTGGAGCAAATCACCCTTAGGGCAGCTTCCCTACCCTACAGCAAGACAATGAGCACAGGCTGGGGAGAGGCATGGACAGAAATCCTCCAGTGCATGCAACTGTTTAAGATCTCCAGCATCCTTTAAAAGAATAAGCAAGGCAGAGCCTGGGAAATACATGGTCAAAGTGACTGGAGATTAAAAAAAAAAAAAAAGTGAGCAAAAAAATCCTTCCTGATCCCAGCTGTCTCCAAGGTGCTGGTATATTCCAATCCTGTTCAGTCCTCCAGTAACAAACTCTTGAGCCAAACCAGGGATTCATTTGCTTCTGACAAATAACGGGTCAGGCCCCATGCCGGGTGCTGGAGAGAACCCTACAACACCACATTCATGTTGTTTCTTTTTACTAGGAAATCGTGTTGAATGGATGTTTACTATTGTGCTTTTTTGCTCTCCATTTTTCCCAGGTGTTATTGAAGTTAATTCTAATTACTGTTAGCCTACTAGATAAGGCATTTTATATTCATTTTCACTGCTGAGTGGTTAAAGTGGACGTGGTGTGAGCAGAAGCCGTGTGGTTTCTGATGTACATTCTCACCTGGAGGGAGCTTTCCAGACTGAGTGCAAACTCCCACCAGTCCCTTTCTCAATCACAGTCAGCCTTTAGCGTGCAGATCTCCTGCGGCGCTCCAGGCCCTTACATGCAGTCTTCACGGCTGCACTCACATCTCCTCCCTTGTCTGTGTCCAGTCACAGCGACCGTTCACTGGTGGGCAAAGCAAATGTTAGGCTTTGATTCAGTGGACCCAACTACAGGCTGTGGAGCCCAGTTCATGGCATTTAATTTAAGTACAAAACAAAAAAGAGGCAGAGTATGAAAGAAATGCAACAAAACTTGGTTCATCCCTGGTAAGTTACCCACCTGATTGATGTGTGTTGACTACACGAATCCTTGTAATAGGTTATTTCCTGTGTTAAATGCATTTATTCACATCTGCTACCCTTCTCAAGGTTATAAGCTATCTCTGTCCTTTCAAAATCAAATCCTTCTTGCTTGCTTGTTTTCTTTCTTTCTCTTCCTTTTTTCCTTCTTTCCTTCCTTCCTTCCTTCCTTTCTTCCTTCCTTCCTTTCTTCTTTCCTTCCTTCCTTCCCTCCCTCCCTCCTTCCTGCCTTTTTCTTCCTTTGTCTATAGTGCTGGAGACTGAACCCAGGACCTTTGCACTGTGCTACACCCTCAACCCTTTTTTATTCTTTGAGACAGAGTCTCAATAAGTTCTTAAGACTTGTTAAGTTGTTAAGACTCAATAAGTTGCTCAGACTAGGCTCAAACGTGAGACCTTCCTGCCTCAGCCTCTCAAAATACAGATATTTCAAGCATGTGTCACCACATGTGACTATCAGCTGACATTTTGATGAGAACAGTTTAGAAGGTTTTTAGTTTGAGAGTGGCAGAGAGCGCCAAGTCATGAAACCCCTCTAAGGACAGAACACTTGGGGCACTTTTGTTTTTCAGAGAACCTGTGTGATTTTTACTTAGAGTTCTAGTGTACTGAACTAACTAGCATAGTTTTCAAACTGTAAAGCCATGATATCACCAAAGCACATATTTTATTTACTGCTTAGTAATGGACATGAATGAAAGGGGACAACCACTATTTAAAAAGTGACACAAAAATTCAGACTCTCAGTATGTTGTCTCTGTAGAGCCTTCCTCTAAGTCTTTCTATAAACCACCCTCTCTCTCCTACTTCCTTAGGCCACCTAAGAACAGAAGGTCACACTGCTTTATGAATACAGCGACAGTGGCTACAAACTGAATTTTAGGTCCATGCTTCATTTATATCTCACAGAAAATATACAACTATGGATCATCAGTGTACGGATGTGATAAAGAAAGTCAGTTTACATGAAAGACATATTCTTCTTGGTGGCCCAAGTAGTATTTGTATTGATTCATTTTCACACAGCTCTGGGAGCCCGCACTGCTGCTGTTTGATGTGGCACAATCACCTCACTTGCTGATTGAAAACATTTGTTCTTAGGTGCCAGGTCGACCTGTCGGTCCTCAGTAGGGAACAGACGCACAAGCTGGAGCTGCAGCTGGAAGAGGGTGAGGGACACCTGGTGCTGCTTGTCACTCTGACAGCCTCAGCCACAGTCAGCATCTCTGACCTCTCCGCCAACTCCCTGGAGGACCAGAAGGAGCGGGAGGAGATCCTAAAGAGATACGTGAGTATGCGAGTCCTCCTTCCAGAGTCCCCTGTGATAGATGAGCTTACCGTGTACCCTGGATCACAGATATACTTCCCAGGAGTTGTCTGCTGGAAGACCAACTTCACAGCAGCCCTTACATGTCCAGCCAATGTCTCCAAGCTTCGTCTTCTTCTGAGTCACTTGCCGAGCAACCTCTGGAACTTGGATTCTACTCATTGATTTTATCCTGCAGGCAAACTTCCCTTAAGGAAAGTCAAGTCGGACAATATTACTTTAAAATTGTAGCACCGTACCCTGTGTACTTGCAATTAAGATTTCTTTGTCTCTCCAAGTTTGAAATGGGGTTCATGACACATTAATTAGAAGTGTGGTATTAGAAAATACTCATAGAAGTGATTTTTATTTTTAACTCTTCAGAAAGCCTTGATTTCATTCCTTTAATTAAAAAAAACATTGAATGTAAAATGTAACTAAAAGGAACCCTTCTTTTGATCAACTATGGAGAGGGTAGAACAGAGAGTCTAAAATTTTAGCAAATCCAATTATTCAAAACCAGATCTTCCTATTTCCCAGCATCCTCTCAGTACCTAACCACTGTGTAGTTTTCTTGAATCAACAGAGAGGGGAGCTCTTACTCCACCATTCTTTCTCAGTGGAGGCTTAGAAAAGTAAATGTCTCTGTATCCGTGAAGCTGGGGAAAAAGCTTTTCCACTTAAAATTACAAAGCTTGTATTGTACAAGGCTGCCAGGTATTTAGAAGGCTCCTCTAGACACTCAGTCATGAAACCAAGCTCTGACCAACAAAGAAGGGCCTCTTTTTAAAAAAAATTCCTGTTTGCTGAATGACATCCTTTCAATAACTGAATTTAATAAAGATGTACCTTATCAGGCTGTGCAGATAACATGAAGTGCTGGTACTAATGCTCTACAATATTCTTCAAACAGATTAGCAGGATGTGCGCTTCAGCAAATTTATTCTGGCTATCTGCACTGAATCAGCTGTCTGCTAATGCTTGTACAACTCATTGCGAATGGTGTTATCATAAACAGTTTAATAGAGGTGACTTAGCAAGGCTAAATAGTATATATTTTTAAACCGCCTAACAGCTCAAGGTATTGTGTGGTATCTTCTAATATGTGATTGCAATTATGCAAATTATTTCACATTTTGGTACTCACCAAAAACATGTTCTATTACCAGAAGTAAGCCCCATGAGTTAAAACTATTGTAAAGGAATTAATTGGTATATCAATATAAAACTTCTTCTAGGTATTATAATGCTGTAGTTAATGGATTACTATTTTGATATTAGCCCATATATGAAGATGATACTGCTTCCCTGGTAATTACAAGTAATCCATCTATTATTGATTTCTTTTTCCTAGATAGACTTCCTGAAATTGGGCTTACTCATTCAGAATTTGAATATCTGTCTTTTCCACTTTCTTTCAAATGTTAGTTTTTTAAGATCCTAAATATGTGGGTGTCCCAGCTAACGCTCATCCTATATTGTGCTCAATATATTAAAAAGTGAATCATGTTTAAATATACTTAAAGCCCTAGATTCCTGGCACAGGCTTGTACCTCCCTCTAGACATGTACTTCTAAGAACTATGATATGCAGTGTAGCACACGTGTCATAATTACAGCAATACAAGGACAAAGAGCTATATTTTAGGACTTGTGTTTCCTTTTCATTAAACAGATTATGAAATGAATGAATACCACATCATATCCAAACTATCACTTGTTTGGGGAAGCATATAAAGGAGGTGACTTATTTGAAAAATTATTTACATGTTTTCCTGTAAGAGCATGGATATTTTCAAAATTGACATTCAACTCGAGGACTTGCTTGCCAGTCTGATCTCGCTTAGGAAAGTAAACGCATTGTCTCTGCTCCTTCAAGAAACAGCCCTGAAAAGTCTCTCCTTTGCGGTCATGTCGCTGCCCGTTGCTAAACATAGGAGGCCTCCAAATTAAGCAGACCTTCCTGTGTGAGCCATTATTTGATCACCATATTCTGAAAAGATGGCTAATTCCATTTTTTTCTTCTTTTGCGGGGGAGGGGAGGAGGGAAGGTCAATAGGGGGCGGGTAGTAATGGGTAGTAGACCAAGAGCAATTGTATGACCTTTTCAGAACGGGTATGCTGAACCCTTGCTCCCCCTTGTCACAGTTTAAAAACCAGAGGAGCTAGTTTAGAGAAGAAGTTGTTAGCATTCCATTTTTATTATGACATTTCACAGTCATCTGATTTAATGTCCCTTGACCGGATTGTCCACCATGAGACGATGGGCTTGAAATGTTATTTAGAGCATTGATAAAAGGTGAGCAGTTCTAAGATGACAGCGAGTCATAAGGCTGGTGGTGTGACATTAATTTTCTCCATAACAGAGATGGAATAAGACGTCACGGTGACAAGCTGTCAATCAGCTCTGGCCCCTCAGAGCATCTCGATGCCATAGGACGGGGTATTGCCTCTCCCGTAATAGAGCTGAACTGAGCCGCTCTCCCTGACAGCTGCTGCAGCCATAGAGAAAATATATTATACAGCCTTTCATTAAAAAAGTAAAGAGGACTCCTCTCCAGAGCATTTCAATCTTTTCCCATCTATTGAGGGCTGGAAGGATTCACAGCAAATCATAGATTCCTCTGCTATGGAAATTTCCAGCTTCAGAAGCCATGCAGGTTTTGTGGCCTCCTAAAATAACCATAAATAACAAGGCAGAAATAGCTCTCGATGAAGCATTCCTTAAAGTTATATTTTTAAACAGATATGTTTATTCACTTTTTTGAGTTCTTATTACAATCTGTGTATTGCTGGCCTAAACATTTGAAATTTGCAGTAAACTACAAAGTGACAGCTGACCTGGAGAACAATAATGACCTCCCACTCCTTACCCCACCTCCCTTCTCCTACCCCACTGGGGAAACACAGGAAGGAGTGTGTCTGTGGGGTGAGCCCGCAGAACATGGGGATTCTCAGACACCAGCACTGGTGATGTTTGTGCTGACAGCCATGAAACTTGGTTCAAATTGCTCCTGAAAATTAAAGTACTAAACTTTTGGTGAAACTGCTCCTCATCCTTAGCGCAGGGGCCTTAGCTGGTTTATGACACTGGGTGACCTCTGAGATGAGAAGCTGCCCAACCTCAGGTAGTACTCTAGGAACACAGCATACCTGCAAATCTGGAACTGGGCTAGTGCTGTCCAAAGCTCTTATTGTTAAATTCTTAATTTATGGGCATTTAAATGGTGACAGAAATGCGTTTTTACTAAACTCTGTCATCCAGGTATTTTAAACAGATTTTTAGTGATAAACAACTTTTAAATACAATAAAAGATTAAGAGTTAATCCTGTGCTAAATACTGCCTTTAAAAAGTGAGGCTGAGATTACACATATATTAGCTTTGATTTTCTGACTGTCCCAAGATCAGAGCCTTGGTGTAAACAGTATTCTTCAGGTGGGAATGATCCAGTTCATAATGCAGGAAGCTTTGGCTTGTCAGTATTCTAACATTAGTAATACAAGGCAGGAGATGCTTTTTGTGCTGGAAAAAAAAAAAAGTTACTTTTTAATGAGTAACTTTATGAAGCAAAATATGTTATGATCCCTGATCAGGAAACACTTTTGCAGATGGTGATAAAGAAATGCCTTTGATTTACTGTATGCAAGTGCTGACCTCACCATAAGAAAAACTCAGTGAAGAGTAAATAAGCAAATGTGTTTCAGTGTTCTACAATTTTATTTCACTCTTAGAACATTTGTGTCCATTAATTAGACTTGTAAATTGTGGCACAATAGTTTCCCTCTTTCAGTTCTGTCTGCATTGCACTTATTAAAATGGCACCATTATTAATTTATGAAGTGAAATAATTTGACTTTTTCCAGTATTGGAGGTTCAGTCAAGCACCAGTACATACAAGGCAAATGTTTTAGCACCGAGCTACTCCACTATCTGGAAATGAAATATTTTTAGCATTTGCTTCTTTTTTCAAACTTTGCATACTTCCACAGATATCATAATAGCAAATTAATTGATAAATTTAATAAAATATATTACTTTTGAATTTAGTTTTAGTCATGTTTGCCTTATTTTAAAAGGTTATATTTGTCTTTTCTATAAAAGATTAATAAACATACTTATCTTTTGATTAAATATTAGTAGTCTTTAAATCATTTACCCCTCATCTGGCACATGTAGTTTCTAAATTCACCAAAGAGAAAATAGCAAAGAAATAATTACAATACTTTAAGTTTGACTTTCATACTCACCCCAACAACTAAAGAGTCAATCAACAACTTTGGAGTCAATATTAAGAATCACTAGTTTCCAAATCATATACAAATGAAAGATTTCTTGGAATGACTTAGTAGATGACTCTGAAAGAAGAAAGATACATCTATTCTGTACTTTACTGTTCATCAACCATTGTAATTATTTATGGAGTGTAAATGTAGTAATTTTAGTCTTCCAAAAGTTCTTATACAGCAAAAATTATGTATATAATAGTGCATGTGGGCATACATGCACATGTGTGCATGTGTATGTGTGCACATGTTTGCATACACCCTTCATGGGGGACGGGTAATTTGTACAGGATAAATACATGTGCCTTTCTGATCCTATTGGGTAACATTCTGAAAGAAACCATAAAAATCTTTCTCAGCATATTCTTTGAGAATCTTTAAGAGTTTTCTTTCCTAATTCCAATGTTGGTGTCTTTCAGAGCCCACTTAGAATATTTCACAACTTAAAAGATGTGGGATTTCTCCAGGTGAAAGTCATCAGAGCGGAAGGTTTGATGGCTGCTGATGTCACAGGTAAGAAATGATACAGATTTCCTATTGCATACAGCAACATGGAAGGTCTAGGAATCGTCTGACTCCGTATTTTACCTGAGTGGCTCATCAGGTAAATAAATATAAAGGTTTGGGTTTGACTTTAATGAAGATTGGTGAACTCCCTGAGTTTTATACCATTTTTATACCACTTTTTAAAAGGCAAATAAATAACAAAGAGCAAAATGTCTTCCTAATGGTTGGGATCCACAAAATTTGATCAGTGTAGTAGGAGTCATCTTTCCAGGTATTGTCATATTGGGCATACTGAAGCAATACTGAATCATCTCTCAGACAGTATCCACTTCCTTGGTGGCATAAACTCCTATAGTTCAGACTGAAATCTGTTGCATGGTTCCTTGAAAAGTTTAGATATGTAGTGATCAATAATAAGTATGACTTTTTGCTATTGAAGTCGCTGTTCCAATTACTTAAATTGTTCAAATTCCTCAGCACACCCCAGAGATAACTCCAGAGCTAAATTAAGCCTCTAGAATGTTTGTTTTATAAACCAGGAAATAGGCTTATAAAAATGCCAGAATTGGTTTTGCCTCCTAAAGTTTTAATATTGCTATTTCTATGACATATTAACAAATGGGCTGGTGGTAACTATTTCATCAATGATAATTGTTTTGAATTTACAACCATGATCATTCATTTATGTTTAGTATCATAAGGCTTTCAGGGATGTTTATATCATTCATTAAATTGTCCATCACAAGGTGGACAATAAATAGGACTAACGACCAGTTTTTGTGCAAATTTCACTATTCCATAAAGATTCTACTTACTATTTGTAGAAATATACTTAGCCTGGTAAATTTTCAGTAAAATGACCCTAAAGATGTAACAGATTTACTCAAAAGAAAGAAATGTCCTTTTCTTACCATCCCAAATCACTGCAAATTGTTTCCTTTACTTAATTCAACAAGATCAAAATCAAATTAAAAGATTGCTGCCTTCCACCTACAAAGCTGATGCTTGCTCCGAAACAGCAATATATTCAAGTTTAACGTTTGCATATTATCAAGTGACTGTGTTTTGTATGATAAAATAAAAATGTTTATAGCTTATAATTTTTAAAGTTTATAGTTAGTTTATAGTTTTTAAAGAGGTAATTATCAAATTTATTTGTAAATAAGAAGATAAGAGCAAGTACCTTTTTCAAAGTAAGTGTAGCTAAAAATAGTAGAAAAGAGGGTGTTGTATATGCTAACTCTCTTTGCATATGTTTGAACTGACTCCTTGCACTAAACAATTAGTGGCTGTTGTTTATTTGTTTTTATGGGTTTTATTTCTGGTATGGTTATAATCAAATTAATCTGGGCAACATAATTTATAATACAAAAATTCAAGTAATTTTATTTCAAAACCTTATTTACCTGTCTGTTACTCAAACTGAGTATAATTCATATAAGTTTGTCTTCTCTTAGAAAAAAAACTGTTACTGATTTTAAAACTTTATGAATATTCAAACTGTGTTAACCTCGTTGGCCTATTTGCCACTATAGAAGCTAAAGTACATGTTTTTTTTTTTAAAGCTGGAAAAAACAGAAATATTCTTCCCTAATAGTTTTACCTAAACTAATGTGAGTAATAAGAGCCTTTTTCCTTAGGGATTCCATGAGACATAATTTTGATTTGATAAAAAATGAACATTAATTTTGAGAGGTACTAAATAACAGTCTCCATTTTTTTTTTTTTTTTTTTTTTTTTTTTTTTGCTTCCAGTTTTAGGCATATAAATCTGATGATTCTTCATTCCATGCTGACCTTATAATCTAATAGTTCTGGGTTGAACAAGAGAGATGTTGAACTATTCAGGGGCAAGTGCTTAATTCAGTGTTTGACCTTGCTTCCTGTTGCACCTTTGGTGTTCTTTATGATATTTGTGATCGTGCCAAAAGTTGAGGACGGTGTATTTAGGTCAAAAACATCTACATATAGAACTAATTTTTAAAATAATCTTAATTTCTGGAAAAAATATATATAGAAAAAGATGCTTCTTGGTCCTTGTCAGTTCCTTTGGGGCATAAATAAGCTATTTATATACCTTTTCTCTTAGTCAATTCAAAGACAACTTTAAAGATAAGGTGCCAGTCTCAGTGAATAACAATAGCCACGCTCTTTACAACATGAAGCCATAGTTTGAAAACAGGAAATTGAGTGAATATAGTACTCCAAATATGTCTCCAAATATGCACCTATCAAGGAATGTCATGGATTGGAGGGAGAGATTTTAAATCATTGATAATTCTCTGTGCCCACACAAGAATACTTTCAGATACAGTACAAAGTTGTTACTATGTTTGGTTTCACAATGCTTTTTTCTAGACAGGTCTAACAAGACAAACTTGTATTTACCTAACTTTTCTATTTCCAAAACACTCTGAATGATCTGAACATCAAGTTAAACTTGGGCATGGTTTAGGAAAAAAATTTTTAAATTTTAATATTCCCTCATTAAACATGAGCACAACAGAGAAAGATGCCGTAATCTTTTAAGTAGCCATCATTCTTACTGCAGTTACAAAGAATTTTTTTCCTTTCAAAATGTAAAATTTTTCTTTTGTTACAACACATTCATTGAGAAACATTGTGATACTGTATTAACTCTGTGTGAATAAAGAGCAATTGAAACTCTCTTTGAATGAGTGAGTATAAAGCACAAATTACTTTTTAATGAAACACTCAATTCTTTTCCTTTCCACAGAAAGCCCATGGCCTTGTTCAGCTGAACACTACTACAGTAGGTCACTTCAGCTAAGCCCCTAATAAACTGTTGATAGTCGAGGGTAGTTTTTTCTTCGGTCTCAATAGCCCAGTGTTGGACAGTGCACTTCAAATCATTAAGGTTAATACAGATTTAAAAAAGAGATTAACTCTGGTGGTTAAGGCCTCAATTTACAACTCCCACACATACACATGCATTGAACAGGGCACAAGAGTGGATTGAAATTTCAGTCAAATTGTGGGCAGCCTTTCACAGCCTGAGAAAGTGGCACTCTGGTTTGAAAAGTTGGTTCGCTAAATTCTTCACGAAAGGGAAAAAGTTGGAGTCGCTGAGAAATACCGCTCAATACAACTTACTTCCCTTTCAGCTACCCAGTGAAAAGGTTAATGTCTCTCTGCGCCATCAAAGCAAAACTAGGCCCTGTGTTCGCCAGGCGAGATTCTTTACACTGCTCAGACTGGACAGATTGCGCGAAGAGACAGCCGGGATGAGGGGAAAAGGTTTTTTTTAGTGGTGGGAAATGGTTGTGGTAACTTGGGGTTTTTTTCCTAGCTTCTAATCATTCTTTGCCTGGAGCAGAGCCTCATTTCAAGTGAGCATTGCAAGTCTTGTGCACTGAGGGAGGCTTTCTCTGCAGAGTGTTTAGGTCTGGCCTGTTGGTTCTTTCAAGCCTGGGAGAAGAAAGAGAAGGGGGCTCCTTTCCTCAGCCCTCCCCTCCAGCTTCCCCTGGGTTGTGGTGTGTGGTTTTGGTTTTTGTTGATGTTGTTGTTGTTTTCTCCCGAGGAAGAGGTCATAGCCTCCCCAGAGGACCAGCCACTCAGTCTCAGGAACAGTGATGTGGGAGAACTGTGAAGCCCTTCAAAAATACCCTGCCTTTTTTAAAAACCGTATTACAAGGAACATGAATATAAAACTCTTCCACCCCAGGTGAATTGATCTAGCAAATTAATGTACCATCTCTCCCAGGAAACAATGGAGGGAGAGGAAGAGAAAAGGCAAGAGAGAGAGAATTTTGCAATTAACAGAGTCTGTCACTGAAATCATCCCATTAAACCAGCATATGTTTTTTTCTAAAACAAGGCTAGGAATAAAGCCTGTGATTCACCAGCCCGACAGTCTGGAAACCTACTAGTTATTAAGAGAGATGTTTACTATCCCTTTATTTGCATAGACTTTTCCCATGTTTTCCTTTTGGAAAACTGTCTTCATTGTTGGAAAATATTTAAGTAACAAAACAGCAGAAAAAGACATGCTACAGTTTTTTTTTTTTATCAGCTTCCGTGAGAGTCTTATTATCTTAAGAAATAACAGTTAGCAGCTCAGATTCATTAGCAGAGCTAAATTTAAGCCCCATTTGACAGGCTGCCTAGAAAACATTTTGTTTTGCTGTCTGTGGGCTTTAATTAAGATGTGTTCAATTTCAGTCCTCTCCAGTCTAGCCCCCACCCCCAACTTGCTGTGTCACAGACCAGCGATCAGACACTTTTAGATGGCCCGGCCCATGACTTTGACCTTCTGCGCAGTCCGGCGTTCCCTGGGGAACCGTTCAACTCATGAGGTCTGATTTCACACTTCCAGGATGCCTCAGCTCTCTTAACAATGACAGGGAGACAAAGCCCTTTAGAGCTGGCCGCATGGGGACTTGTTTAAATTGGAAACCAGAGAGGAGTCAAGGAACAAGGTTAGGGGCTACAGAATGGTGCTTTTAATAAAGAGCTCACAGCTCTGGCTCAGCTCAAAGAGGTCTACCTCTGTACAATTAATTGAGCCATTTATCTGGAGCATCTTAGGCCTCTACTTTCTCACAGAATTGCGTGGTAAATATCAGCTAAGAAGCAAATGAGATATGCATGAAATGAATTTTAACACTTTGATTACTGTGCCTCCAGTCTTCATTAAAAGTAAATTTATTTGTATTTCTGACCTCATTATCAGTCGGCTGCCTGCATTTTTATTGGCTCCTGTGATTTCCAGCTTGAGTGTGTCATGGAGGTATATTTTACACAGAGATTGGGATTTATTATTCTTGGTATTTTCCCTGAACATTATGGGTCTATTCAGAGAAAGAAAATGAAAAGGCAGCTGTACAAAAAAAGCCAAATCTGCTCTTGGGAAGTTTTATATAAAGTTGGAGAAATACCAAGTGTATATGCATAACATCGACAAGACATTGTCCTTTAAAAAATAACTTTTCATGGATTCCTCTGGCAAATTGCGTGAAATATATGCAATTGTTGCGTCAAGTGGCC